AGGATCGGCGCTCCCCATGGCGAGCTACTCGGTCGAATAAACCCCTTCCCCAGCAGCTCCTGAAGCTGCGGGGATAACTCATGCATCTCTGGCGGCGCAAGGCGATAAGGCGCCTTGGCGATAGGCGCTGCCCCCGGAACCAAATCAATGCGGAACTCTACCTGCCTCTCGGGAGGCACACCCGACAACTCCTCGGGAAAAACATCCGGGAACTCACGCACTATCGGAACGTCATCCATCGAACTTGGCCCTTCGGCGGCCACTCGTGAGTCCATCACATATGCCACAAACCCGCTACAGCCCTGCTGTAAACTCTGTCTCGCTCTGGCTGCCGAACAAAACGCTGACCCACATCGGGTACCCTCGTCGTACACCGTAAGTACTCCCCCACTAGGGTCTCGTATCGTCACCAACTGTAGCTCGCAGTCTATGACAGCCCCAAATCGGCTCAACCAATCCATGCCCACTATGACACATACGTCCCCCATCGCTATCGGGACCAGATCTATCGGGAACTCAACACCGAAGATCTCGAGTACACATCCTCGAATCACATCCGTAGCATACACCGCTCGCTCGTCAGCTATGGAAACTCGTAAAAGGTCGTCTCAACGCCTCTCGTCGGCTACTGATGTGTCGACTAAACGCTATCGACACAAATGATCGACTCGCACCCGAGTCAAATAACACTAAGGCAGGTACAGAACTCACAAGAAAAGTACCTACGCATATCATAATATAAGCACAATATCTCATCTCAGCATAAATAAATAAAGAATACATACCAGCCACAACATCGAGCGCTGCGCGGACCTCTGCCGCTGTCAACTGGAAAGCTCTCCCATGAGCCTTCGGTGCCTCGGCCTTCGCTGGCCGAATCTCGGTAGCCCTAGCAGCAGGTGCTGATCCCTGATGTAGCTGCGGGCACTCGGCCTTCCGATGGCCAGTTTGGTTGCAATGAAAGCAAACCATAAATCCCTTGGGGCAATCCTTGGCGATATGCCCCTCCTTGCCACATTTGTAGCAAGCACCCGATCGACAGACCCCATCATGTCCCTTGCCGCACTTCCCACAAGTGCGGCCCTTCTGGCCTCCAGATCTCGTATCAGCGAACTTGGCCCGCTTGGCTGCCGGCTGAGACTGTGCCGGCCGCCGATCCATCCTATGAGACTCGGCCTCCTCCCTGTCCTGAGTCTCCAACTCAATCTCCCTCTTCTGGGTATTTGCCTGGTGCTCAGCAAATGTCCGGTAAGTCGAGTTCGACACGAACTCCCGAATATCCCTCCTCAAAACGCCCAAATACTGGCTCATGCGTGCCTGCTCAGTAGACACCTGCTCAGGGCAGAACATCGCCCTCTCATGAAACTTCCTGGTAACCACAGTAACAGAATCAGTACCCTGCTTGAGGGTCAAAAACTCCTGAACCAACCGTTCCCTCTCCACTGGGGGAACATACTCGTCTCTGAACATAGCGGTGAACCTCTCCCAGGTCACCTCTGTTTTCGATGTTCTTTATATCCACGCGTAGGTATTGACAAGATCTATAACTCTTCTTTTGACCTCATCGACTAATTCTCGACCGATTTTAAATTTAACAGTATGGGAATGTTACACTATTAAACGACCGTGTAAAATTTATAATTTCTACATACGAACTCCGTTTTCGTCTGTCTTTTTATTCTTGAACTCTTATTAACGAGACATTCAATTCTCATTCAGGTTGCGTTGGCCAAAAATCGATCGATCAAAAATGTAACAACGTAAATTTTCAAAACAATTTTTCATTTTTAAATCATACTTTCAATCACACGATAATCACAAAAACATAATGTATCCACTGTGTCATAACAAAACATGTCCCAGAATCTCAATAACATAAACTCCATAAGTGTGTACGGATCATGCCGGCGCCTTCCCGCGATCCTCGCTAGTACCTGAAACACATAACATAACAACTGTAAGCATAAATGCTTAGTGAGTTCCCCAAAATACCACACATACGCCTTTCCAGGCCATAACCCTGTAGGATCCTCCGATCCATGTGTCTCAGGGGACTTCCGTCCCGAATCCCGGTAGACCTTCCGGTCCTACCCGTATCGACCTTCCGGTCCATATCATCTTGACCTTCCGGTCCATATCATCTTGACCTTCCGGTCCATACCATACATAACATACATAGCACATACATATCACATAACCGCATATAGCACATACATCTCATAGCATACAAGACCTTTCGGTCACACATAAGTACCCTCCCAGGTACAGTATAGTGAGAAAACTCACCTCAATGAAGTCGGATAAACTCTCGTGCTCAACGTCTCGACTTAGCCTCCTCCTATTATTCAGATAACATCCCCAATCAGTATTCTCTCATGATCTCATCTCTACAGATTGGGTAGAAGGCCATTCTACCCTTCCCTGAACTCTCCTGAATCAGTCTTGACCAGAACCCTAAAGTCAACGAAAGTCAACGGTTAACTTTGACCCGACTCGTCGAGTGCACAAAGGCGACTCGGCGAGTCCATGCGGGTCCTCTGAATCCTTTCAGTCTCTCTTGGCTTGTCGAGTCATCCTTCCACTCGACGGATTACACCTGTCACGAATCGCGGGGCAACCCCGACTCGACTCGTCGAGTCCACTTATGGACTCGGCGAGTTGCTTCCATGTTCATACTCAAATGACCTTCTAAGGTCAGATCTGCTTCCCTAACTATCAGATCTACCCTTCAAATGCTCAAATGTCATGTAAAGGTGCAACCTTTACGTGCATGCAACCCACAACAAGTCATAAATGGAGAAATAACTCTAAATATGGCAACCTAGTCTCCAATCCTCCATGAACAAACAAAAAGCATAACGGGGAAGGTTCTCTGGACCTCTATGGGTCCAGATCTGAGGCCTAACCCAGCAAAGGACCATAAACTCAACTCTTCAAGCCTTCAAAGGTTATAGAAAACCCTAAATCATAGATCTTAACCCAAAACAGAAAGGAAGTTCGATTTGATACCTCAATAGTGTAGATCTGAACTTGAAAACCCTGGATCCACAGCTCCCTTGACCTCCTCTTGTTGGAAACCACTTCTCTTTTGCTAAAACACTCAAGAAATGGTGAATTAGCCTTCCTCTAGCACCATAAACGCTCTCTCTCTCTCTCTCTCTCTCTCTCTCTCTCTCTCTCTCTCTAAGGTTTCTCAGGGGTGAAGTGGCCGCAATGGAGGCTATAAAGGCCTTTAAATAGGGCACAGGCCCCGAGAATTAGGGTTTCACTTAACAGTGCGGACTCGCCGAGTCCACGCATCGACTCGTCGAGTCCTTCATTAAATCAGTCAAGAAATGCGCGATCCTACTCGGCGAGTCTGAGCGCCTACTCGCCGAGTCCCTCCTTAAAACTCAAAATAAATACTTAAAATAAGATACCTGGGAATCCGGATGTTACATAAAATTCGAATTCCGGGCTGTGCACTGATATGCTAAATCTTAGAAAAATCATAACTTTCTCATACGAAGTCAGATTTGGACGTTCTTTTTATGCACGTTCTCGGTGTAACGTATAGTACGACTTTCGTTTAGATTGGTAAGGCTAAAAAGTAATTTATCAAAAATTCACTTTTTACGTTACGCGGTGTCGTGTCGGGTTAGCTGTAAAACTTCGACAGGTCATAACTTCTTCGTTATAACTCGGATTTCGGCGTTCTTTATATCTCCGGAACCCTTGTCACGACCGCTACAACTTTCTTCATAGATATCGGGTTTATCTATATTTTTATTTTTGACGTTTATTTTCATTCTTAATTTATTATATCTTTATAAACAAGTTTAATGCACATAAATTCACATAATTCACATAACATTCAAGTAATTCCTTTTTATTACTTTAAGATAAGTTACATTTGTTGACTATTACATCATCGTATCAATGTTTAGCCTCGAAACATGAGCGTTATAGGGAAGGAGCGGCAACAACTTCATTTTGCACCATAGCTCTGGTGGAAGGAAGGGGCACTGGTGATGACGAAGAAGTCGATATAGGTCATCTATCATCATCGTTTTCCAGTCGTCACCATTCACCACCACTATCCGCCACTAACAACCTCCGTCTCCCTACCCTTACCTCCATATCTACTTCCTTAACTCGATGAAACCTCTCCTTCTCAAATCTAAAAAACCTAGATCTCGTCAGTTTTAGAGCTTTGTTTTACTTCAGACTATCAAAGAACACATTCATATTTCATACCAATAAACCAACCTCTGGAGAAACCCAGTTTCCATATAAGTAATCTTAACCCTATCTCTTCTTCTTCTTCTTCTTCTTCTTTGTATCTATGTCTACAATCAACATAATCAGAGGAATAAGACGAAGATGTAGAAGCATCATCCAATCGCTGGAACCATGTTCAATCAGATTCTTAACTTTAACAGATTGCATGATTACATGACTGTCCTTGCTAAAAAACACAAAACTTATTGATTGATTAGTCATTTCTGCTACGAGGTTTATACATCTGATCCAGTTAATGTTGAGTGCATCATGAAGAAAATTTTGGTGGTGCTGGTGCATGGACTAGGATAGAGACGACCACGTGTGAATTTAAGGCTCTGGTGGTGCTCCATTGGAAAAGGGTACTTCGACAGTGGTGCTGGGAAGATGGGTGGATTCTAGAGAGAGAGAGGGGGTGGATTTTCTTTTTGATTTATTAAATAAAAGAATAATAAAATAAATTAAAAAATAATTACTATAGGGATATTCATCATTTCAGGTTAGGTATGGAACAATAACATACAAAAATGTCAACCTAGGGACCAAAACCACACAAAATATCTAAAATTGAACCATTGATAAACCGGCAAAAAAAATTGGATTAAAAACATAAAATTTTGCTGGCCATAAGGATCATTTCTGTAATTTTGCTTTTTTTTTATTTTTATTATATTTAGTTATCGATAAAAAAGCTCCATTTTTAAAGGTTGATGGGTCGTCAAAAACCGCTAAAAGCCATACGATATGAGAAGGTGATGACGATGTTTTTATATGCAACATGTCCCCTTTTCAATGATGATATGATTGATGTGTACTGGAGCCGCTGCTATCAACCGCAGGAACACCAACGAATCATCTCCACCACTCTACACCTATTTCAATCAAGATCAAACCCTAGAACTTCCCTACAGCTTCCCTTTCTTCCCATCAATGGCGGCTTGTTTGGGTTCTGTATCGGAAATGCATTCCATACGTACGGTTCTCGAAGAACTTGATGAAGAAAAACAGATGGTTCGACCGGAGACCACGAATTCTAACCCTAACTTACCCACCTCCACCTCCACCTCCACCTCCGTCATGGTGATGCGGCGTAAGGTCGAGAGAATCTTTCCGGTTTATGCACGGGGTAAATTATCTCCAAGATCCGATCCGTCTGTCAATTCGGGCTCGGTTGTGGGTGATTCTATCTGGGATGCTGTTAGAGTAGAGGCCAAGTGTGAGGTATTTGCAACTCTTCATAACTTTTCATGGCAATTCAATGATTTAACTCGAAATTCCTTTCAATTACTATATGGATTTTGAGTTTCTAATTTCTCTGTTATCGGATAAACTATAGAATTTAATCAATTTATAGTTTATTTGATAGTGGATGATGAAAGTTTAGTGAGGAAAGATGAAATTTGTCAAAGTCAACATGCAATAATTTATCTTTTGGAAAAATAATTGGTACTTCTCTCTGATGTTATTGGACAATCCTTAGTTTCTACAGTCTACTTATAATTGGTGATTGAAAAAATGCTCAAAAAGGAAATATATGAAAGTCAACTTCTTGAGTTAGTCTCATAATTTGATACTCTCTTTGGCTTTGAAAAAGAAACTCATACAAATACAATAATGAACTCAAAAACATTTTTTTTCCTGAAAGCCAATGATTAAACACAATTTAACAAGATTTGTTTTCTTTATCCAGTTTGTAAAAAGAATGAAATGTAATTGAGGACCATCATACTTGTGTTTATGTCAAATTTTGAAATTTGACTCTTTTTCAAACTTTGATGTGGACTTTTTTATTTGGGTGGATGGAGAAATATCTTCTTTTTCAAGAAAGATGGTATCTTTTTTCTATATTAAACAAGTTGTAATGATGTTACTTTAGTCTTTATGAGTTCTACTCAATGCCACTATGATTGGTGGAAGTTGTTTATTATAATGATATAATCCAATTGAAAGTAATAATTCTATATACATATATTAATTGGATGTTTGATGAAAAAATTTCAGGCTGAAAATGAGCCAATATTAAGCAGCTTCTTATATGCGAGCATACTATCACATGATTGTTTAGAGCGTGCATTGGCATTTATTATTGCTAACAGACTCCAAAATAACACATTATTAGAAACCCAATTGATGGATATATTTTGTGATGTAATGGTTCAAAATCGAGGCATCCATAGAGCAATTCGCCTTGATTTACAGGTGATGATTGTTTTGTACTTTGTTTGCATGTCTTCAATTTCAATGTCTTTTTTTTTGTTTCTGATTCTATTTTCCTTCCTTTGACAGGCATTTAAAGATAGAGATCCTTCATGTTTGTCTTATTGTTCTGCTCTTTTATACTTAAAGGTATTTATTTCAATTAGAAATTCAACTTGTTTATTGATGTGATGTGAAGTGAAGTGTTGAATTAAATGGTGATTCTTTTAGGGTTTTCATTCATTACAAACACATCGAGTAGCACATGCATTGTGGAATCAAGGACGCAAGGTGTTGGCTCTTGCACTTCAAAGTCGAGTTAGTGAGGTATCATTTTTCATCTCTTGTTTTAAGTTATTCATCAAACTTTCTGCTTCTTATTTACTAAATGTTACCTTTTTTTTTCTAGGTCTTTGCAGTTGACATACATCCAGGTATTCTTTCAAAATAGTAGTTTAGTGAGACGTAAAAAAATACTTAATTTATTTATTTTCTTGACAAAGCTGCGAAAATTGGAGAGGGGATACTGTTGGATCATGGGACTGGATTAGTTATTGGTGAAACTGCTGTTATTGGTGATAGAGTTTCTCTAATGCAGGTAATTTGGTTTATCCCTTCTCATTCTTGAATTGATATGATGGAATTTGTTAATATAACCCATTTTTATTATTATTATTTTTAAAAAATTGATGATTAGCAGGGTGTAACATTGGGAGGAAGTGGGAAGGAAACAGGGGATAGGCACCCAAAAGTTGGTGAAGGAGTGTTGATTGGAGCAAGTGTGATTGTACTTGGGAATATAAAGATAGGTGATGGAGCAATGATAGCTTCGGGTTCCCTTGTTCTTAAGGATGTTCCTCAACATAGGTGACACATAATCATGATGAAATTGCATGATTTATTTTCTTGTTTATTTATATTACTATTATGCTAATGCTAATATATTATTATTATTATATAAAGCATGGCTGCAGGAATACCGGCTAAAGTGATTGGTTATGTAGAAGAGCAAGTTCCATCTTTAACAATGAAGCATGGTATGTGGTTAATGAAATATTTTACATAAATTAAATTATATAAGGTTTGATGAGAGACATTGTTGATATTTAGTTTGTGATGTTGGTTGGTTATGTTATGGCAGATGCAAGCAAAGACTTCTTTGAACATGTAGCCATAGGATGTGAGGGAAGATCCATTGGTGAATATGAATACTCCATATAAATTATTATACTCCTATAAACTTAACTTAAACATGCAGAAATTGGTAATGGTAGTGGCGGAAATACTTTTGTATACCTGTAAACTCGTGATAAAACCCTAGGAGGGACTAGGGTTATGTTATATTCTAATTATGCTCTCTACCAAATTGGTGTAATCACTAATCCCCCTCCCCTGTTTGAAGGTTTAGGGCCTATTTGTACTGTTTTGTTTGTTATTGTAAAATGGAACAATAAAGTTGCTACATTTCATTATCATATTTTGAGGAATCAGATGAGAGACATTCAACAGTTTAAGAAAGTGAATGAAATCTAATTGAAGAAATAATGTTTATGTTTGAATATGATTTCTCTCATTCTTGGTTTTAGGCCAAACATACACGACCAAATTGTGGCAGAAAATAAAGGCAAAATAAATGCATATACACCAAATTGTGGCTCCTATGAATGATACAAAAACTCAAGGACGCTCTATCCAGTTAATCTTTAGATGTGTGTTGTATATAATTTTCCTCTCTGATAGTATAATAATATATGTTAAAAAAGTAACAGTGTTACAAAAAGAATACAAGAATATAGCGCATATATGCTGTTTGACTTGTTATGAAAAGGAGAAGCGTGAGAAGAGGGAGAGCCCAGATCCAGGGGGTTCACTTGCAACTGGGCTTGGTGGAACATCAGTAGAAGGCCGATACGCGTTTTGACACTTTTGAAACTGCATTTCATTTCATTTAAATCTCATAAAAACAGCTACATATTTTCCCTTTTAACAATTTTGGTCAAATGGATAATATACATAAAACCTTAACAAAACATTTCTCACCTCATCAGGGCTGAATTGAAGGAGCATTGCAATAACAGGTAGTAGAGCCCCCACTTCACCTATATAATTCACACCAAAAAATATATACATAAATCAAGAGAAAGATCAAGAGCTCATTGTTGTTTTAGTTATGTAGTAGAATGAATATACCTGTTTCAAGAAGCTTTACTATGACATTTTTAAGATATGTCATATCCACTCCTTCCCTCTTTTGTGATCTTTCCATGTTCCGAAGCTCTTCCTTTAACATAGCTTCCTGTGGGTTAAGTTGTTAATTGTTATTATAATATAATTTTTTTTAATTAAAAAAGAAATCTAAAGTTAAAATACCTGTTGGCTGTGAAGACGATTTTCGCGTTCAAGCTCTTCAAGTTCCTCCTGGAAGATCAACAAAGTACATAACAAACTTAAATGAGTTTTTTAAGTCATTATTTTTTTATTATTAAGTCAAAAAGACTTACTTGAAGTGCAAGAATGTGTCTCTGAGATTGGGCTAGCTCTTCCTCCCTTTGAGCTTGTTGCCTAGCCAATATCTGAATTCCAATTTTTTTTGTTAATTACTAACTAATTTTATTAACATATTCATACAGAATATAAAAACAAAACAACTGTCTAGGGTTTGAAAAAAAAAATGCATACCAATATCTGTTGTTCTGCAACAGAGGTGTTTGAAGAATCCTGTCTAGTGAAACCTATAAAATTGAATTCCATGTAAAATGGACAATCAATATTAGATTTCTAACTAGATAAAAAGACAGACAAGGGTATCAGACATTAATCATACCCGTATTATGGCCATTCTCATTGTTGTTTGCCTGAAAATAGCAATAACAATAACAAGGGTATTTAAGGCAATGAAAAAGATAACAAAATAAACATGAATATGATAGAAACAGAGGATTGAGGGAGATACCGATGGCTTTGATGATAAGGAACGAACAAGATTCTTATTGTTGTCTACAAGTCTTGAAATCTCCATGTCCTTCTCTTCAATCATCTTATCAGCAAGCTCACGAAATGAATCATGTTCTTCCTATAAAAAAATAAAAATAAATAAACAATTTGAAATTAGTCTCGACATATAATTGTAATGAATATGAAATATGAATATCACCTTTAATTTTTTATATCGTGTTTGGACATCTTGTACTTCTTTTTGTAAAGTTTCATCAGGTGTTGACTTTTGTTGTTCAATTTCAGCCTTTAGCGCCTGGAATCTCACTGTAGAATAATTTATTTTGTCATTAAAAAGAATTAACAGAAAGTTTTTTAAAGTAAACTAAAAATTGTTTAATTACATTGCCAAGTTTCTTCCACATTTTGAAGATTCTTCTCCCAAGTTTCTTTCTCAGATCGATGGCTAGAAATTGCAGAAGAGAGCTTCATTTCCATGTTCTTCACTTGTTGCTCAACAAGGCTAAGAGTTTCATCTCTGAAATAAATAGAAATAAATTTAATATAATGTTTAAAATAACTTTCTGAACCTTAGGATTCATCAAAAAGGAAAGTAATGCCACCTGGCACTGAGTTCTTTGTCATGATGACTTAGAGCATTCTCAAGATCATGGAGGGTTTTGTCCCTTTCAGCAGATACTATCACTATTTCATTTTCAGCCTCCTGTATAAACATGATGATATATGTGAGTAGATCTGTGTGCCACATCATCACATAGAAGAGAAAAATATATACACCTTTAGTGCTTCTTCAAGGACTTTAAGCTGTTCATTATCTTTAGCAGATGCCAGCTCAGCATCCTTTTTCTGAAGAAGTGCATGTGCACGAGCCTTATACGAAGCAAATTCACTTTCTAGACGTTTTATCTGAATAATAATTAAACATTTATTATACACAATTTCATTAAATAATAGATGACACAGGAGAATAAATAGTTAAATACCTCCTCTTTAGCAGTTAATAACTCGGACTCTTTGGTGTTTGACTGCTGACTCAGCACAGAAAGTTCTAGATCCATCTGACCTGTGGGTTACCATTGTTACTTCCATTTAAAGGGCAAGAACTGAAAATAACAAGTCAAAAAAAGGTGTATATATGTACTTTTCATTTTGGCAGCTTCAATTTCAGCACGTATACAGTTAGCCTCAGCAATCTCAAGTTTCCTGCTGAGTGCCTGAGAGGTGGCTTCCCATTTTTCTTTCTCTTTCTCCTAAAATATAGGAAAATCAATTGAATAAAAAAACATTAAAAAATCAAAATGGAAAAGGACTCTCATTGAATTATATTAGTTCATACTTGTTCGTTTTTCAGGTGAGTAATTTCCCCTTTAATAGTCTCCATGGCAGCTTTAAGCCTTGCAGCTTCACCACTTGAAGCTGCATCCATCTCTGCCAGTTTTGACTCTTTTTCTGCAACAAGTTTCTAAAAAAGGAAAATGATCAAATGTTTAACAACTTACAGATATAATATATATAACTTGTTTACCTGTAGAGAAGAGATTGTTTCAGTTGCTTTCGTTCTATCTGCTGATGAGTCAGCAAGTTGAGCTTCCAGATTTGCTATTTGCTTTTGATGTTTTGAAGAAAGTTCAGCCATTGAAGCTTGCCTCTTTTCTTCTGCTCCTTGTAATAGCCCTTTCATGTTCTCTAACATCTGTTCATACAAAATATATCATTTTTCTGTAAATTCACAAGTACTGTTCTAATATTAGACATAAAAGATAAAAGTACTTTGACTTTTCAATACCTGTTCTTTTTCTACAAGTGACTGTTGCAATGTCTCAATGGTATTCTCTTTGGGCTCCAAAGAACGTCTCAGCTCTTCAATATTGTCCCGAAGTCTAATGTGAGTCAAATAGTCAACAGTCAAAAGAAAGATTGACACAAAAGAACACATGGAAGCTTTCTATCTGTAATTCCAGATATACCCTTTTAGTGTACCTATTGTTTGCACTTCGAAGTTGTTGTCTTTCTACATCAATTGCTTTGAGTGCCTCATTAGCATGCTGACGTGTGCGATCAAGCTCCTGCTGTAATCCTGACAGCTGTAATGAAGCTTGCTCTGACTTTTCATTGACTTCTTTATATTTGGCCTCAAGGTCATCTTTCTCCTGGAAAAGATTGTCTCCACAAACCAATCAGAATCAATACACAAACAGTAATTAATATCTTGGATACTGTTGAAGGGGCCCACAAACAAAATTACCTTCTGAACCTCTTGAATTCTTTGTTTTGCTCGCTTGTGAAGCCTATTCAACTTGGAATCAAGTTCAGCATTCTTCTCATCACGCTCTTTTACCTGTTGCTCCAGATTCTTTTCAACTGTATGCATAAAAAGTAGTATGAATTTATGCTAAGATTAAAAAAAAAGGTAACACTAGCTAAGGGTAAACAGGTAATTTATACAACCTTCAGCTAGTTTAGCAGCAAACTCTTGGCACTTGGCATCTGCCTCTGAGTATTCTATACGAAGATGTTCCAAAGCTGCCTCTGCAGCAGCTCGTGTTTGTCTTTCTTCTATTAGTTCTTTGTTCAAGGATTCTATTTTGTCATGCAACTCTTTTGAATCTTCATGTGTCCTATCTTGATTAATTGTCTTTGTTTGTTGGATAGAACCAGTTGAATCTGTGTATAGATTCTTCAAATCATGGAAATGAGACTTAAAGTATTCATTCTGAAATTTGAGTTCTGCCACTGTTTGCATTAGATGATCTTGAGTGTCATCAGATATGGGGTTACCATTTGATAAAATGTTATCCACTTTTGAATTTCCAATATCTTGAGGACTCATGTCGTTTGATTTTGCATAAGGTTGTATAGCATCTCCAACATGATTTTCCACCCTCTTGTCAACATCATCTCCCCCTTCTGACATTATCTTGTAATTTCTAAAATATTGTGATGTGTTTTGAAGATGGTGATGCCTGTATCTACTCTACCAGCTTGATATAGATTAAAACTAGAATGACATGATTCCTGCATAAAACAAGGTCTTCCTTTGTAAAGTAACAGCATAAGGCTGTAAAGAGCATACATGTGCTTCAATCAAATAAGAACACCCAATATGAGATTGCAAACATTTGGATCATGGAAATTGACAACCAGTGTAGGAACATATACTGAAATTAACTCGAATTCCAATACTAAACCAAAGAATCGGGATTTCCGAACATATAATGGTATTGAAATTATGTATATCGTGGTATTGGAGGCTCGATTCCATGGTTTGTAATTGGTTGTAATTTGAAGTAAATTAGCTTCAATCCAATTCCAGACTCCAAAACCCTACCTTAACTCACAAACAAGTTTGAACCCTCCAAAAATAACAAATCAACAATGTCCTTAATACTACACAAATACCACGTGCAACGGCTAATATCAGTGACTAATTGATTTATTCCATAGAAAATTGATTCACAGTAACACCCTAGCAGAATATAAAACACACCAGGTTGAAAATCAAGCCTGCAACTACAGTAATAAGTTAATAATGCTGACAATTGGGATTTGTTGTTCCTTACAGAATGTTGCCGGTAGACAATTTTGCATAATGATATAGATAGTGAAGAACATTTGAGATAATCTAACCTTATTCTCCTGGATACACGAGATCACAACCAGCCACCAACTCGAAATTCGAAATTCGAATCGGGGTGATTGATTGGTCAATCAAGATCTATATTTCGTGATTTTTCGGATACCTAACGGATCTAAACACCACCACCCCCTCTATGAATCAATCAAACCGTATTTATCAAAAAAAAATGTGATTGAAGAAAGGGGTGGAGATTCGGAGGGCATAAACTCTATGAATCGTATGTTATCACGATTCGCATTTGTGAAAAATGGAAACTTTCAGTGGCACTAGATTTTCGTTTTACGTATGATCCCCGAGTCACGAGTTCAACTCAGATGTACACCAAAGGCAAGTCGACACTTTTCACCCTTCAACTTTAACAAACTGGTCAATTCTTGACCAAAATTAAGATTTTTATAGATGTAGTAAATTTGGCAACCACCTATAACAATTTATCCTTTTTCTTTACTATATTGTAACTTTTTTTTTTGTCTAGCTTTCCTCTTGCAGTTTTTGCTATAATAAAATTGGTTTTATTATTTATTTCTTTTTAATTTTTAATTGAAGTTGCTGCTATGGATTGTTAAACATCGATGAAAAATAGTACATTAGAGAGGGTTTTATTTTCAAGCGATATTGATGATTTATAAGTTTTTTTTTCAATTAAAAATGTATTAACATTATGCAAAAAGTGTGATCATTAGGTAAAAATAGTTGCTTAATAAGTTATTTTATTTGAATATAAGTGAAAAAATGTCAAAATAGTACAATATACTTAGGCCCTTCAAAGTACCATCAACGGAGGGCTTCGTTGTCCATGTTGGCATGAACCACAAAAACGAACAAAAACATGTCAATAGATTTCGATGTATTTAGCATAGCCATGGAGTAATATGAAAAAAGAACAACAACTCGCAAACCTTTTCCATATCTTAAACATTGGCTAAGGTTGAAGGATGCTCCAAAAGGGAAAGAACTTGTGAAAGAGACTTCTGCTGATTTGAAGCGTTCAAGAAACACCGGTAGAAGTTCACAACAATCGGACAGCCAAACGCACATTGACATCAATGATGAGTTAGTGGATCTTGAATATGAACAACCTCTCCATCAACCGATAAGAAGAAATAGAGCAAAGAAAGCGGCTTCCGGTTCGTCTTCAAAAAATTCGGGTTCCGCTGTTATCGATTATTTAGGAGAAAATTTTGATCGATATTTCCAATTAAAAGAGAGCAATGCGGCGATGATGAATCGGGTGGAACAAAAAATGTTAGATGCACAAACATTGTTTCAAGAGGCACAAATGGCGTTTCAAATGGAAAACGATTTAGAGATATTGAAAATGAAAGTTGACGACTATGAGGGTGATGATTTTGAGATTTTTCTCACAATGAAAGAATCTATCCAAACGAAAGAGTCAAGAATCATATTAAAATGATACTGTTAATTAACATCACACTAACAACTTGATATAATTGATTATTTATTATAAATTGATTTTAATACATATTCAATAAACTCTTATAATTAACTGGAAATTATTTATTTCATGGAAATAATAATTTTAATTAGCAATTAACATATTACATATCATATGGTATAATTTATTAAGTCATGTACATTATTTTGGACTAGAAATGTTTTTTTTTTGTCTTTTAGCCAAAAGCCAAAATTTATATCTTTTAAAAGAGTTTGAAAGCTTTTATAAAATTTGGTCTTTCTCTTGGATTTTCAAAAATTAAAGAGATATAAAAGAGTATGGTGTTTTGATTTTTATAATCAAAAGAACACTTCACTTTGTTGCATGTTTAGACAAAATGATTAAGCATGAGAGGTAGGTGCATGGTAGGGCAAAAATGTGAAGATCTAATGGGTAAAGAATGCAAGTTAAAGGCTTTCATGCACTCTTCCTTTCCTCACTTCTTTTGAACGTATTATGCTTATTTTTCTCTCATTATTCTCACTTTAAAGTGTTAGAGTTTACTTGCATATGCTCTCTTGAAGTTCATAATTTGGTTATGAACTTTAAGCTTAAGAGTACAAGAGTTTATGGATTAGCATCTACATCAAGTTGAAGTATTGTTGGTGTCCACAAAGGAAAGAGTTCTACTCAAAATTCTACATCAACATTCAAGCCTCTCTTAATGATTCGAAGGCTACAAAGGTTTTCATCTTCTTTGTAACACTCGTTTTCCATAATGGATTAATGGATGGTATAAAGGAGTCAAAAGCTTGGTTATTAAGAAAAACCATATGTCGTGACATGACATGAAGGGTGTCACGACGTGGCATGACAATTAAAGATCGCGTATCCGGAATGGTTGTCACGACGTGATGAATTTTGTGTCACGACGTGACAACAGCTGCAACCCAAGCCCATGATTTCTTTGGGTTTTCTCCATATTTAAGCACCTTAACTTCAAGTTAGGGCATCATTTTCAGCCTCCAACCTCTCTATTTTGAAAACCCTAGCCGCTTTGAGTAATCTTGGTGTTCTTGACCAATTGAAGGCTTATTTCTCATATTTTGGTGTGGAGCTTGAAGACCATGTTCTTGCAAAGTGTTTTGGTGAATAGCACAAGTGCAGATCTAGCAAAGGGACTTCATTTCTGATCCATTGTGAGTAAAAAGCTTCCATCTTGATCTTTAGTTGCTAGATCTTGTAGTTTGATCATGTGTGTCCCTTTTGGTCCATGTGAGCTTGTACTTTGGAGTTGATTGAACTCCAGCACCTCTTGAGCTTATTTTATCACCTAATAATTGTAACATCCCAAACTTCAGAAGTATGATTTAGGGGCTTATGTGTAATTTTAGGAGCCTACTCGGCGAGTAGGTATGTCTACTCGTCGAGTCAGAGCGGGTTTTGGCCACGTGTTAAGTGACCAACTCGCCGAGTCGGCGGCTGGACTCGACGAGTTGGTGCTAGGAAGAGAAAACCCTAATTTTAGGGTTTGCACCCTATTTAAAGGACCTTAAGTCCTTACCTCAGCCCCCTTATCACCCCTTGACGTCCAGAAGCAGCCCTAACCGATCCAAACCCCCCATTTTGAGTGTGTGAAGGAGGGAAAGTGTGTTTTAAAGCATTTGCAAGAAGAAGGCTTGAAGTTTAAGAAGATTTGATCATAGAGGAGCTGGTGGATTCGATCTCTCTGCTCAGTGGCATCAGTCTGAAGGTAACAAGTTGTTACCTTGACCTTGTTCTTTCTAGATCTCTTCATGTTAAAGATTAGGGCTTTTATAGCATGGGTGATATTCATTTTCGGGTATGGGCTAGGATCTAAAGTTGCAACTTCAGATCTAAGCTCATATTGGACTCTAAAGCCATAAAGTCTCCAGCTTTAGCAAGCATGAACCCTCCATGTTGAGATAAACCCCATTGTAAGCTTGAGATTGACATTCTAAGCCTTTAGAGCCGTGCATGCACGTAAAGGTTGCAACTTTACATGATAAACATGCCTTGGGAGCCTAGATCTGCAATATGGAGCCTTTGCATGACTTAAAAAGCATCTGTATGGTTAAAGGATTGAAGGGACTTGGCGAGTCGCAAGGTCGACTCGACGAGTCATATGAAGATAGTCATGTACTCGACGAGTTGGATGAACAACTCGGCGAGTTCGATGAAGATGGCCTTGGGCTCGGCGAGTCAGATGTATGACTCGGCGAGTCGGCTAGGGTTTTTCCCCAACCCTTTGATACGCGTGAACTCGGCGAGTTGCAAAGAAACTCGAAGAGTCAACCAAGGATTTCACGACATCTCGAGTACAGGAAGGACTCGACGAGTCGGTGAACTGCACTCGACGAGTCGAGACAACATGGGCTGTTGACTTTTGATTGTAGACTTTGACTTTGACCAAGGGTTGACCAGTTGACTTCTAAGGGTATTTTGGTAAATTGAATATTGATAGCGAAGGACATTGGTGAATATAGGTGTGGGAGTTGGAGCTACTTTTGGAAGAGTTTGACACTACCTTCCGAGCTACTTACGAGGTGAGTTATCCTCACTATACTAAGGGGTCTAAGGCACTAAGGTCGGCCCATTTGATATGTTATCTTGAGCTGTGTTAGATGTTGAGTATGACTTAGTGTTACATGCTAGTGGATATGCCTGTTAGGTAGGTCTGTAGGACTACCGGTGATGTTATATGATTATTGCATGCTCGATTCTTATGATTTATGTGGTTGTTATATGGGATGGGTTGAGGTTGTACTGCTTCGTGCGGTACCCAACAAACCCTAGGAGCATTCCAGTTACGGGCTAAGGGAGACTCGTATTGTGGGCTCGGGAGCATTCCAGTTACGGG